CTTCAAGTCATCCTCACTTTTGGCAAGCTAAGTTGTGTCATCTGTGTATCGCAGGTTGTTAATGAGTCTTCCTCCAGTCCTGATGCCATGTTCTTCTTCATATAGTCCTGCTTCTTGGATTATTTGCTCAGCATACAGATTGAATAAGTATGGTGAAAGGATACAACCCTGACACACTCCCTTCCTGATTTTAAACCATGCAGTGTCCCCTTGTTCTGTTCGAATGACAGCCTCCTGGTCTAGGTACACATTCCTCATGAGTACAATTAAGTGTTTTGAAATTCCCATTCTTCTCAATGTTACCCATAATTCATTATGATCCACACAATCAAATCTTTTCCAGAGTCAGTAAAACACAAGTAAACATCTTTCGGGTATTCTTTGCTTTCAGCCAAGATCCATCTGACATCAGCAATGCTATCCCTCATTCCATGCCCTCTTCTGAATCCAGCTTGCATTTCTGGAAGTTCTCTGTCAATATACTGCTGCAACTGTTTTTGAATTATCTTCAGTAAGATTTTACTTGCATGTGATATTAATGATATTGTTTGATAATTTCCACATTCTGTGGGATCACCTTTCTTTGGAATGGGTACAAATATGGATCTTCTCCAGTCAGTTGGCTGAAGGAAGATGGGGCAATCTACTTCCGTAGTGATACTGCCTCGGAGACCCAAGGGGGTCACTATGAGTCGAGTCCTATTCTATGGCACATAACAAGAAGTCAGTTGGCCAGGTAGCTGTCTTCCAAATTTCTTGGCATAGACAAGTGAGCCCCTCCAGCGGGACATCCATTTGTTGAAATATTGGTATTCCATCAATTCCTAGACCCTTGTTCTTTGTCAGTTTCTTCAGTGCAGCTTCAACTTCTTTCAATACCATTGATTCTTGATCATATACTATCTCCTGAAATGGATGAATATCAGCCAATTCTTTTTGGTACAGTGACTCTTTGTATTCCTTCCATCTTCTTTTGACATTTCCCGCATCATTGAACATATTGCCCATAGAAGCTTTCTATATTGCAATTCAAGCCTTTAATTTTTTTCTTCAGTTCTTTCAGCTTGAGAAACGCAGAGTGTGTTCTTCCCTTTTGGTTTTCTAACTCCAGGTTTTTGCACATTTCATTAAAATAATTGACTTTGTCTTCCTGAGCTGCTCTTTGAAATCTTCTGTTCAGCAATTTTATTTGTCATTTCTTCTAGCTTTAGCCAATCTTCATTCAAGGGCAAGTTTCAGAGTCTCTTCTGACATCCATTTTGGTCTTTTCTTCCTTTCCTGTCTTTTTATTGACCTTTTTGTTTTCTTCATGGATGATGTTCTTGATGGGGCCATCCACTTCTGAAAAAACTGGCCACTGAAAGCCTTAATCTATCTTTATAGATTTGCATACTCTGGACATTTCATATAAATGGAAGCATACAATATGTGGTCTTTTTGACAGGCTTCTTTCTCTTCACATGATGTTTTCAAGATTCATCCATGTTGGAACATGTATCAATACTTCATTGTTTTTTATGGCTAAATAATCTTTCATTGTATGAATGTGTTATTTTTATTTTTCTATTTGTCTGGTTCTCATTTGTATTTCTCACATCAAATAATTTACTGTACATTGTAGGTGTTCAACACACATATGAAAATTAGAATAAACTATTCTCTTTGCACATTTCCAAAGCATCCTTAGGATAGGTCTTTATTTGAAAATGCAGGGCAGAAGAAGGATCAGTGCAAGTTTAGCTGTTTGAGGAACTAGTTTGACAGTTGAAAGGAGAACTTGTTCTTGCAGATTAGCCACCATTGTTTGAGCAATTTGATATTGATCAAGAAGGGTATGGAAGGACAGGTATGTCAGAGAAGGGCATACAAGAGTCACAGCGAAAATTTTTCTATCCTTTAAGGTCTCTTACAGGGCTTTTAAATGCAATTTTTGAGTTTTAACACAACAGGAGTCAAATGGCTCTTCAAAATTATTCTTTCAGAAATTTAGTTAATGCTAAATTTTGTTATGCAAAATTTTATTGATTACACTAGAGATGTACTTAATTAATCTACTTCATGCAAAGAAAACATTATAGGTAGGTAAGCGTAAACATTTCACGTGTTAAAGGATAATTTTTTTTTTTTAAAAAGGTGAAATTATGATTTTCACAGAGATATAAAAATGAATGTATGTTAAAGATTTAACTCACGAGGAAACTGGTAAGGTGCTGAAACCAGTTCAAAGATGTAACAATGGTTGTTGGAGGCATCTGACCTCCTAAGTCCATAAGGCGAAGAGAGACTCACCATCAACAACAGCTCAAGGCTGATTCCTATGAGGCAGAGGTCAGATATACCTCCTCTCTTCAACTTTATTACCAATTCAAAAAGCACCAGTCTACTTCTCTGTTGGGTTCATGATTTGTTGTAATGGCCACACAGAACTCAAAGACAATACTCACAATTATGGTGTTTATTATGGAAGTAACAGGTTACAATTCAGGATTAGGAAATACTCAGGACACTGTTCTTCAATCAGGACAACTGCTTCTCAGCCATGCTAGCGGGCAGGCCTTTCTTTGGCCCTCGGCCTAGCCTCTGCCCTGTGTGGGCAAGCTCTTTAGCTCCACCAATAAATGCCCAGAGGCACCTCATTCCACCAGTTAGCCTTAGCCTGAAGGTGCTCAGCTCTCTAGCTCCAAGGGTCGGCAAGGCTAGCTCTGTAGACAAGGGCTAGGAGGCATCTCTGCTGGCAAGCCTCCTGCTCAGTGGGTTAGCACACCCACTATAACCACATTGCTCTGCAGACTAGAAAGATCACTGCACTGCACTGTCTTGTGCCAGTTTTCTGGTTCTGCTATTGCTGTTTCTCTGTCACCACTTCTTGTGATCTTGTGCCATCTCTGATGTTATAGTTCTCTGTCTCCTGGGTCTAGAAGGTTCTCAGCACAGGGACCCTGGATCCAAAGAATGCACTTACCTTCTGTCTCTTCTTCTTGGTGGTAGTGAACTCCCCTTGGGATGGCTCATCTTAAGCCTAGTGGGATGGCAAAACTGACTAACCCCCTCATTAAGGTTCCATATACCTTATTTGCATGATTGATCACACTCACAAGGGTGTCATGCACCTTATTTGCATTATAGCAAGCTATCCGATCCCCTGGGAGCTCTGGCATAGTGCCTAAGGCATTTGACTGTTAACCAGAAGGCTGGTGGTTCAAACCCACCAGCCACTTCTCAGAAGGAAGACTGGGCAATCTACTTCCATAGAGATACAGCCTCAGAAATCCAAGGAAGGGTTGCTATGAGTAGAATCAACTCGATGGCAGTGAGTTTTTTTGTATCCAATCCCTTTGGTGAGCCACAAACATCTCGTTTCCATAGTTCCACTCAATCGTTTGGTGGGAGTTACAAGACCATGGTGAGAAAGACCATATAAAAGCAATCCATCACACCACAAAAGGACATCCAAATAATAGATCAGAAATATTGAAATAAATGCAAATGGAAGCAAAACTGTTTAATCCATGGTCATGGTGGTGGTGATGGGGGGTGTCCTTCTACTGGACAGAGTTCATGTGCAGGTCAATAAGTAATAATTATTTTCTATTGCTATCAGTCATCTACAATAGAGTTGTAAAAGAGCTCCCTGGGAAGCAGATTCAGATAACCTTGAATACTGTTTAGGCAATGCAGAATTCCACACCCCCGCTGCTCCCCGCCCCCCACTCCCCCGTAGCTGTTAAGATATACAGTTAAGATAGAGAGCAGGCAGGAGTAGTCTCAGATGGCAAGGGAGTACACTGGCCATAGGCTAACTTCCTAATTCAATGACCACAAGAGTAAGGAAATTTTTTCTTGCGCTCATCTTTCTGACAAATTAGATACTTCTTTGGTCTTCTGCCTGATAGTTGGAGAGCCAGCGCTGAGTTGGCTTATACCTAGAAAAGCTAATAAGCTTACTCAACGGCCACCAAAAGCAAAAATCAATCCAGTTGCAGTCCAGTAAATTCCAAACTTTGTTGACCCATGTGTTACAGAGTAGAACTAAGATCCACAGGACTTTCTTACCTGTAATCTTTACAGAAGCAGATCACAGGCCTTTCTTCTAGGGCACTGCTAGGCAGATTCAAACTGCCAACAATTTCATTAAACCAAAAACCAAATGCACTGCCATTAAGTCGATTTTGACTCATAGTGACCTCCATTGGGTTTCCAAGGCAATAAATCTTTACGGAAATAGATTGCTCAGTCTTCCTTCTGTGGCGTGGCTGGTGGATTTGAACCGCCAGCCTTCTGGTTAGCACTCAAATGCTTTAGGCACTATGCCACCAGTGCTCCTTACCTTTTCATTAGTAGCCTTTGTCACCAGTGCCCAGAAACAACCCCCAGGACAGCCTGGAAAGTAAACCCACACCTTCAAAAGGGCACTATGCAGATAAATAGTGTATTTGGCCCTGTTTGCTGATGGGGAGGGAGTGGCTTTATGCGCAGACACTACTCACAAATGAATTTGAACCAATATCCATACCTCTGCCCATTGTACTTCCTTCTACCTGTCCCAGGCAGGGCTCTTTTGCTAGAAATTATTCTGCTAGAAATGATTCTTCCTTTAAACTATCACAGCCCAGAATCAGAACTGGGTTTGTGTTAGGCTCAACCATTTACAAGCTTGTTTCTTCTGAAAAAAAAAAAAACAAAACACAATCATAATGCTTAGTTGCCTGGGTTACTGGGAGATACTTTGTAAACGGTGAAGAGTTATTGAAACTATATATTTTCTCCTCTTTTAGGACGCAGAGTGCAAAGTTCAACGGGCCTGGGCCCCTTTCAAGTGTCAAGGAGTTTGCAAGGAGCTGGGTAGGAGCCCCACGGTTCTTCTCCACTGACTCCGCCCCAGCCACACAAGCCACGTGCCAGGTCAGAGGCGCGGGGGCTCCAGCGCATGGGGCCCTCCAACCAGTGGTCGTGGCCCGCCAGGGGTGGAAGTCCCACGGGGCGGGGCAGCCCCCCGCCGCCAGTTCCTTATTCTGTAAGTGGTGCCAAGGGCTGGCGGTGCCACAGAAGCGGAGACTGGAGAGCAAAGGATGGGTCCGCACTGCGCAGCTAGCCTGCAGCGAGGCCCCAGCCCCTGGAGGTTGCTTCTCCCCGCCATCCTGCCGCTACTGGTGCTGCTCCTGCTGCTGCTGCCGACGCCGTCATGCTCGGGTGCAGAGGACGGCCGGCCGCCTCATCTCGTCTTCTTGCTGGCTGACGACCTGGGCTGGAACGACGTGGGCTTCCACGGCTCGAGCATCCGCACGCCGCACCTGGATGCCCTGGCAGCCGGCGGGGTGCGGCTGGACAACTACTACATCCAGCCGTTGTGTACGCCATCGCGAAGCCAGCTGCTCACAGGCCGCTATCAGGTATGCAGCGCCCCCGTAGGCCCTCGCGACACCCGGCACCCGGCGCCGGCTCCGCCTCCGCCCGGAGCCCTCCTCCTCCCGGGGGCACCGGCACTGGTAGTACAATCTCGTCTAGTACCGCGAGGCCTCTGGGAAGTGGCCCGGGAGGCTCCGACTGACGACCGTGAGACAGCTTCTGGTCCAGGCTGTGGCTTCTCCCTTCCGGAGCCCATACTCCGCCGCGGCTCAGCGCAAGTCCGGCTCCAAGCGGCCCGCAATCTGAAGCACCGCTAGTGGGTCCTATGCACAGTTCTTTTTCCGTTTTCCGTGTTCTAAAGTCAGGTGAAGGAGTTTCTGAGGCATGCTAGGTTCTGGGAACTGCGAACGGAGAGGGAGAAGGGTCAGAATGGACTCTGGAGAGCGGATGTGAAGGGGATGATGGTGAGAGATAGCGCCCTGACGTGGAGCGGAGAGAGGCGGGAGCCCTGGGAAAGCAAACGGGAGAGTTACGTAAAATAGAAAAAATGCCCTCTGTGGATGCGACTCCGACCTCCTGTGAACCCAGCGGTCGTAGGTTCAGGAGTGACCAAAGTTTTTCCAGGTTCTCAGCATTCTTCCATTGAAACCTGACCAGGTTGATTTTTCTTGGATTGCTGACTTTCCTTTCACAATTAACCTTATATTGATTTCCTCTGAGCATCTCCATTCTCTTTAAAACTTCTTGGTAGGTACTATAGATAAGTGTATACATAGAAACCAAAAAAGAAACCAAACGGATGGGATAGAGTGGATTCTGACTCATGGCGACCCATGTGTTAGAGTAGACCTGAGCTCCATAGGGTTTTCTTAGCTGTAACCTTTGTAGAAACGGATCACCAGGCCTTTCTTCCTGGGCACCTCTGGGTCGGTTTGAACCACCAGTCTTTTGGTAATACATGAGCACAAACTGTTTGTGTCACCCAGGGGCCTTACATATGGAGAGAATGTGTATGTTTGTTAGAATGCTAAGAATATCCAGAACATTTGCATAGTGTTATACTACTTTTAGAGTTAATTCTTCAAATAGCCCATGAGGTAGCGGTTACTCTTTAATTCTCCACTTACATTTGAGGAAGTAAGCCTGAGACAATGACACATTATGAATCAAACTGCTAGAAAGTGGTAAAGTGGGGTCCTGTGTCTTTTCTGCATCCAGGGGTCATCTCAGACCTATCAAATTGGACTTTTCTCCCCTTAAACTGAGTAAGATATAAATTTATATAAGATCTTATTGTGGATATGACCATATAAAGAAAATAAATAGGTACTGTTTGAGAACACATGCATACCTACATAAATGTTATTATTAAGTGCCTTTGAGTTCGTTCCAACTCATAGCAACCCAGTGTACAACAGAATGAAACATTGCCCAGTCCTCTGCCATCCTCACAATCTTTGCTGTGCTTGAGACATTGCTGGAGCCTCTGTGTCAATCCATCTCATTGAGGGTCTTCCCCTTTTTTGCTGACCTTCTACTTTACCAAGCATAATATCCTTCTCCAGGGACTGGACTGGTCTCTTCCGACAATATGACCAAAATACGTAAAATGAAGTCTGGCCATTCTCACTTCTAAGGAGTATTCTGGCTGCACTTCTTCCAGGACAGATTTATTTGTTCTTCTGGCAGTCCATGGTACTTTCACTATTCTTCTCCAACACCACAACTCAAAACATTAACTCTTCTTTGGTCTTCCTTATTCATTGTCCAGCTCTCACATGCATATGAGGCTATTGAAAATACCATGTGCACCCTGGTCTTCAAAGACACGTCTTTGCTCTTCAGCACTTTAAAGAGGTCTTTTGCAACAGATTTGCCCAGTGCCATATGTCATCTGATTTCTTGGCTGCTGCTTCCATGGGTTGATTGTGGATCAAAGTAAAATGAAATCTCTGGTAACATCAATCTTTTCTCCATTTATTGAGATATTGCTTATTAGTGTAGTAGCGAGGATTTTTGTTTCCTTCATGTTGAGGTATAATCCATGCTGACAGCTGTAATCTTTTGTCTTCAACAAGTGCTTCCAGTCATCTTCACTTTCAGCAAGTAAAGTTATTTCATCTGCATATTGCAGGTTGTTAATGAGTCTTCCTCCAATCCTAGTGCCATGTTCTTCTTCATATAGTCCAATTTGTCAGATTATTTGCTTGGCATACAGGTTGAATAAGTAAGGTGAAAGGATACAACCCTGATGCACACCCTTCCTGATCTGAAAGCATGCAGTGTCCCTTTGTTCTGTTTGAAAGGCTGCCTCTTGGTCTATGTACAGGTTCCTCATGAGCAAAATAGGTGTTCTGGAATTCCTGTTCTTCATAATATTATCCATTATGTGTTATAATGCACACAGTTGAATGCTTTTGCATAGTCAACAGACATCTTTCTGGTATTCTTTGCTTTCAGCCAGGAACCATGTGACATTAGGAATGATGTCTCTCATTCTGCGTCCTCTTCTGAATCCTTCTGCTTGAATTTCTGGCAGTTCTCTGTCAATGTATTGCTGCAACCATCTTTTAATTATCTTCAGCAAAATTTTACTTATGTGTTATTAATGTTATTATTAGGTAATTTCCACATTTTTTTGGATCATCTTTCTTTGGAATGGGCACAAATATGGATCTCTTCCTGCCAGTTGGCCAGGTAGTGTCTTCCAAATTTTTGGCATACACTAGTGAGTGCCTTCAGCACTGCATTCATTTGTTGAAACATCTCATTGATGATTCTGTCAGTTCCTGGAGCCTTATTTTTCGCTCATTCCTTCAATACCATAGGTTCTTGATCATATGCTACCTCCTGAAATGGTTGCACGTTGACCAATTCTTTTTGATATAGTGACTCTGTGTATTCTTTTCATCTTTTTTTGATGCTTCCTGCATTATTCAGTATTTTGCCTTTAGAATCCTTCAGTATTGCACCTCAAGATTTGAATTCTTTCTTCAGTTCTTTCAACTTGAGAAATGCCAAGCATGTTGTTGCTTTCATTTTCTAACTCCAAGTCTTTGCACATTTCATTATACTTCACTTTGTCTTCTTTAGCTGCCCTTTGAAATCTGTTGTTCAACTCGTTTACTTCATCATTTCTTCTTCTCTTTAGCTGCTCTCCATTCAAGAGAATGTCAGAAGAGACATTCTGACATTCATTTTGATTTTATCTTCCTTTCCAGTCTTTTTATGATGCCTTGCTTTTTTCACGTTTGATGTTTTTGATGTCAGCCCACAACTTATCTGATCTTTAGTCACTGGTGTTCAATCTGTCACATCTCTTCTTCAGATGGTCTCTAATTCAGGTCAGATATACTCAAGGTTATATTTTGGCTCTTGTGGCCTTATTTTAATTTTCTTCATCTTCAAGTTGAAGTTGCATGTGAGCAATGGATGGTCTATTCTACTTTCAGCTTCTAGCCTTATTCTGATTGATGAGATTGAGCTTCTCCATTGCCTCTTTCCACAAATATAATTGATTTGATTCCTGCTATATCTGCTGAGGTCCATGTGAATAGTCACCATTTATGGTGTTGGAAAGAGATATTTGCAATGAATATGTCAATCATTGGTCATTAAATGAATTTTTCTTTGAAGAAAGCAAGACGTCATAAAAATTCTATCATGTGGTCTCTGGCATAATTTCTATGACCAAGGCCATATTTTCCAACTAATGATGCTTCTTTGTTTCCAACTTTCACATTCCAGTCACCATTAATTATCAATACATCTTGTTGCATGTTTGGTCAATTTCAGACTGCAGAAGTTGGTAAACATCTTCAATTTCCTCATCTTTGGCTTTAGTAGTTGGTGCCTAAATTTGAATAATAGTAGTATTAAGTGGTCTTTCTAGTAGGAGTAAGGATATTATTCTATCACTGACACCCTTGTACTTCAAGATAGATCTTGAAATGTTCTTTTGGATGATGAATGAAATGCCATTCCTCTTCTCTTTCTCATTCCTGGCATAGTAGACCATATTATTTTCTGACTCAAAATGGCCACACCTGCATAAATATACACTGTTTATTCAGATCAATCTTAGCCTGCCTACATCGGTGAGAAAATATAGAAGTTTACTTATGTTGTCTTGAGATCAAGAGAAGGTAGGGTTTGCCTATGATAAAGCTTCACACAGTGGCCTAAAGGCTTTTATAAAGAGAGATGATAGTATTTCACTAAGGGACTGACACATAGAAGTAGCCAGGGTTTGAGATGGGGATAAGAGGATGATTCCCTTCACCAACAACCCAAAGTACTTTTTGCAGTACTTGACCTTGGCTAATTAAGAAATTGTGTGCTGATGCAAATTTTACCCAGCATACTTTGGAAGAGTAAAGGTAAATGAGAGTAAAAAAGACAAGAAGAGAAAGAAGGGCAAGGTCTTCCCCAAAGGTTCTGCATTTGCTCTTAAGTAAGAAAACCGAATTCAAATTTCACAAGAATGAGTGGCCATTCATTCCTCTGACTTCCTTCCTGCTCCCACCAATAGACTTGAACAGGAAAGCAAATACCACACTTTCAAAAACCGGTTTATATAATGACTGGTTTTGTACTCATACATCCTCCCCCCTGCAGTAGCCAACATTGAGTTTTGGAGAAAAATTTGAGTGTTTAGAGCACCCTGTGGTCAAGAAGTGAAGAAGGGTAGAAGCTAGGCACTCTAGGACGGATTTTGAGATTGTTAACGAAACAGACTCTAAAGCAGAGCTGGCCTACCCTCACGTTTAACTTGGCTTTCCCACCCACTTTATTCTGTTACGATTCATGAGATCCAATTAAAAATTATCTTGTGTTAGCAAGAATCCTGTTCTAAAGGAATAAATAATTGCAGGATGCTTGAGCCTCATTGCCCTCATATACTATACACTGACACTGTTCTGAGCACTTTCCATGCATTTACTCATTTAATTCTCACAGCAACCCTATAAGGTAGGTACTACTGTTAAAATCTCCTTTTTATCATGGGGGAACCAAGGCTGGAAGAGGGTAAGAAATTTGCCCA